GCCGAAAAAAATCCTCATCCTCTGTTTGTCTATGTATCTCTGTCGTCAGCAGCGATTCTCTTCATCTGTCAATCCGTCGGCAGAAAGGATTCCGTTGTGCACCCCCGTTACCGATGGCAAATGCTCACCCAATTGTTATCACCCGCTTGTTCTATTTGTTCTGATCGTGGCCAGAACAACGAATTCCGAGTCGTCCGAATGAAACCGGTACGAAGACGTGAAGCGATGATCGACAATGTTCGTTCTGAGCATATTCTTTTCAATATGAGAATTTTCGCAGAGCAGACAGAGATACAGAGGAAAAGGCGGCAAACGATGCCGAAAATATAAAGAATGAAACGGGTCGATGAATAGACACGGGAAAACCGCAAGAAAAGTTTTGAGGAATATCCTGAAAGTCGCGTGTTGCTTCATCCCTTCGAGGGGTTTACTTCGCCTCTTGAAATCGATTCTTCCCGGCAACAATCACGGAATGTTCACGGACAACACCCACCGCGTGAATGAATTTGTTTTCCGCGGAAATTGAATTATGTATTTCTTTGTTACGTTCCCCTGAAATCCCGCAAAATGTTCGCCAGTGTTGAATCAAGCTCCCTCCGGATCGCTCTTCGTTTCGAAGGGAACACGAAGCGGATGAGAATTCTACTGACACCTGCGATCGAGGGGCGTGGATCCCGTGCGGCATCTTCGTCACACGCCATTTTCGGTCTCGGAGACGATTCTCGCACTTGCGAGGAAGGGGATTTACTTCAGCTGGTGGAGACGATAAGGACACCGAAATTATTACATCAGCCCCCCGAAATGACCTGACCATCCAGGGCAATTTCAAATCATTTTGGACGGGACAGGAGTCGTTTTGCTTCATACCTGGTATGCAAATCAGTTGGGCACTTTGTTTTCAGAGTTTTCTCAAAGTCGGATATCTTTCAAGCACCGCTTTCGTTCGAATAAAGTTCTGGGAAGCTTTCTTTCCCTAGACGACTCGTTTCATTGTCCCAAGCTCCCGGCTGATTACGTGAGATTATGATGCATTCGTGTTATCAGTTCTTGCGGAGGATCTTCTCACTCCTTGATTGCCAGCGAGTTGACGGCGTTTGCTCGGAAGAGAGAGGAATGAAGTCACGAACAGCTCCGTCTTCATCTCTGACAATAATAATAATATTGTAATGATGATGATTGTGACTATGGCGATGCCGCTGATGTCAGGATCATTGTCATAATGATAACCGCAATGCAAACAATATGAAGTCTTGTATGAAGTCGATTTGATCGCCGTCGCTAACATCACCTCGTTTGTTCGTCGCACGTTCTCGCGCACGCGCTCGTATTTCCCGGCGGCCGCGTTTGTTTCGCGGCGAATTTGTTCTTCGAGCGAAGAACAAACACATGCGCTTCAAAAAAACATTCCTGAGCAGGAGTCCCCATTTGAGCTTCGTGTCACGACGAAAATATTCATGGACTGATGCTAATTTTTTTCCGCTCGCTGAATTTCCCGACGGATGTTTTTTCTAAGCGTTCTGTTCCCATCATTGGACCAGAAACACAGGTCTAATTCATGAGCCCCAAGACGCGAGTTTCTGCCCGGAGAGTCCGCACCATGGCGAGCTCCGGCCGGCTCTTTTCCTGTCCTCGTACCCGTTTATCGGCTATTTCACTTCTGTCTTCTGAGCACGTGTTCGTAACTGTCGGCCGGAAAGAGCAAGCCGTCAACAAGAAGACAACAATAGACATCGACAACTATTATAGCGACAACAGCCGAAGCGAAGGGGCGGCAAGACAGCGCCGTCGGACACCGCCGCAGCGGCGGCCACAGCAGCGGTCAAGGAGAGGGGTGCAGAAGCGACCGCATCGGCTCAGAGCATTTTATGCTGTATGTTTTATGCTGCGCTTCCGCGGCCTGCCTCTCGAGGTAGTCGGCGATGGCGGGTTAGTCGTGTCGTTGTCACGGCACTTGTCGAGCGCGAATTACCGTCGAAGCGAGAAAAAAACGCCAGGGATTTTTTACGAAAAATCGGACAGCCACGCCGAAAGCCGGGAGACACGGCAGACAATTTGTTCGGAAAGCTGTCGATTGTCTCCGACCCTCAAAGCCTGCTACTGCAGCTGTCTCAGAGCGATAACCAGAGCCAATGAGAGCGAAGTTTTGGTGGAATTCGCGTGCTCATCGGAGCACAGTGGTGCTAATGGATGTGTCGGTGCACTGGGGGAGAAAAAGACCGTCACCGAGCGTAGAATTTCGGCAACGATCAGCGGCACCGATTCTGCGAAGATTCAGTTATTCATTCGAGCCTCATGCGATCGTCCACTCGCGTCGGCTGCAAGTGGGAAAATTGGCCCGTGTGAATTTCCTCTCCAAAGAGCATCAGCTCTGCTTTTGACCGATGGCTGTTTGATTTGCTTTCGTTCCTCGTTTTTCCTTCTCCCGTAGTCCGAAGCGCAATGGCTGAGCGCGGGAACACTCAGGGAAAAACCTCGAGCGGCAGGGCAATCGCCTGGTCTCTGAGTGCGTCTGGACATCGTCAACTCGAACGGCTGCTCCGCTGACGTGTGCAAAGCCCCATTCAACTCAACAACTCTGCAGTCTTGATCCTCTCATCCTGCAGATGCTCTGTCGGGATAGCCGTTTTTTTTTCAGCGATAGAGCGCCTTCAACAGTTAACAACATCACAAGCTCGAGTGTCTAAACCTCCCGCCGCCTCCGAACCTGCGTCAGCAGACCAGATGAGAAGGAACAATAGAAATTTCCAGCAACAATTTTCCGTCTCGATCCGACACCGTTGTTCAGGGAAGCTATCGAGGGAAAATCGTATCGATCGCCGATGACCCCGCGGTATTCTCATGGTGAGCCTCGTTCCGCATCGATCACTGTATCGGGCTTCCCTCATCGGTCGTTCCGCTCGAGGTGAAGAAAGGATGATACCCACGGCAGGAATCAAATTCCAATTTATTCTTGGGGACTTAGCCAGATGGACAGAGAAATTTCAATAGGTAGTTAGCCACTCAGGAGCGCGAGCTCGTTGAGGGCGATACTCGGAGGTAGACCACCTGATAACATCCTAGCATTGCCGCGTTGGACCTCAACAGAAATACGCTGCCTTATGAAAGACAGGAATAGGCGGATGGAGAATGATAGCACTCCCGACTTCTTCTCGGCCTTAGGGAATCCCGGATCGGGAGCTCAGAGTGTTTCAAATACGAAGCAAGCGTAGGAACGTATTCGAATGCGGGGATGACTGGCCATTCCATTGGTGGAACATGGACAGAATAGGGCACCACCGAACGATTATTATGTGTTCGCTGCGCCAGCTGACGCCGAGGACAGCTACGGCGGCAGAAACGTCGATGACGACAGCGGTGGCGGCGGTGAAGCATCGACTCTTAACAACACCGTGACATAATTGCTGCAGAACGAGTTGTTGCCGAGGTGATACCAGTTGAATCTGCATATATTTTTGTTCCGCGTCATTAACCCTTGTAAGTACACACTCATGAGCTCGGGCAGTCTCATCCACTCGTCCAGTCAGACTGTTGACAGTCAACTTCAGATCGCATGAGCTTTCGCCCTCGTTCAGACCTTCAAGGCCGAATGGGAATCGCGTTGAAAATACAAGTCATCGATACAATCTCTCGCATCGTGGACTCGCGCGATCCATCGTCGCTATCGTCGATCCGAACGGACTCCGCTACGGAGTCGAGGAGTTCCCCACTGGCACGTCCTCCGTCCTCCGTGTGTATAGCGGCGCACGGTCGGCCAACAATGTCCCGCTTCGGTAACAGCATCCTAATCATGGCCATTTTAATCTCCATCGGGGCTCTCCATCCGCTCCTGCGTCACCATCGTCATCATCATCATCAGCAGCAATATCGTCGTTACCGTCGACTACTTGCTCTCAATGTTTCACAACAGAGGCTCTTAAAGACGAATTAGCAACGACTGAACCTGTTCGCAATAATGCGGGTCTTTTGGGATTGGCAGCTTTGGGCGGTTAGTCAGAAACATCAGCGGCAGCAACAGCAGCCGGCGGTTGAGCGACCATGCGAGCGGGCATGGGCGAGCGATTTGCTACTCGATATCAACTCTGTAGGGGCGGCTGCAAGCACGGAATACCGGGACGGGGGCAGCCGTAACAACGGTGGCAATCGCGACAGTTCGGCGCTCAATCTGAACTTCGATCTCCGAAGACGTCATTCCGTACGGTAGCGGTTCGTTCAAACAGAAACTCCGCCCGGAGAAGCCGGCGGTGAAATAAAGAACACAAAAAAAGCAAACGACGAGAACGACACCAAGTGCTGCTGCCGCAGTGCTGACTTTATGGTGACATGCGGCAGTGAATTTATACGAAAGTCCAGTCAGTCAGATCGCCGAACGGCCGGCCGTCAGCCCGGCCACCGGACCCGTCGGACGTGGATCGAATATCTCAGGCCACAGATCAGCTGAAATCTGCTTCTGTCAGTGCCACCGTCGACAGAAGAATCCGCAATCGACTCAAATACTCAATCGACGACGACGAGCGACCGACATGAAAAGAATCATGATGAGAGAGATCTTGTCATCGTCGTCGTAGTTGCTCCTGCTGCCGGAGACGTTTATAAGCGAATACAGAGTCTCACTTGAATTTTGATTGTGGGCTTAGTGAGTTTCGCATGATGATGATGATGACGACGACGAAGGCGACCCGACGGACGGAACGACGACGCGTGCGCGCCTCCGCCTAGGTTCGAAACCCACGTCGTCATCAGACGAACACGACTACGAAGATATCAAAAGCTACGACCACATTGCCATCAAGCAGATAAACAGATCCGTCTGAGGGGCCGAAAGGGGCCTGAAGAGGATCTGTCATGTTCTATTGGACTCCATTGTACATCACCTATGAGGACCCGCCCGCAGATTTTCGGCGGAGTTCGCAGACGAAAAAAAACCTATCAGCCTAAACGACAATTCGACAGTTAGTAGACAAATCGAATGTTCTGAAAGGGAATCCCCAGCTCCAACTCACCTCCATTTCGTGCGACGGTTCTGGAACCAGGTTTTCACCTGGGCGTCGGTCATCTTGAGTTGCTTGGCGAGTTGAGCTCGCTCGGCACTCGCGAGATATTTCTGTTTGTGGAAGCGTTTCTCCAATTCGCAGATTTGCATTCGGGTGAACGACGTGCGGGGCTTCTTGCGTTTCGGGGGAGTTCGGTTCTGATAAGGATGTCCTATCCGACGGGGAGGGAGAGGCGCGGTCAGGGCTGAGAAAGCGGCCGCGGCGGCAGCTGGAAAGCGAATAAGAGTGGGAGTCAATACAAAGTAGATCTCGGCGTTCTTCCGCTTCCTTTGCGAAATTTCGATCGAGTGAGCATTGGGTTTCTCCTCCAGAAGAGGAACTAGAATAATAATTCAAGTTGGATTAGGGACATGTTCCGCGGAGCGGATGGTCGACGACTGCCGTCAGCAGCAGCAGTGATATCAAACAATAGCAGAGGAACTATGCAGCCACGTTATGAAAATATATCAAAGACCTAGCCGATCCAGGAATGACCGCGACTTTTGCTGATCCCCGCTGAGGCTCATTGATTCCAGCATAATGGCGACCCGAAAACGGCGAGAATGATACGGAGACGGACTAGTTTCTAGCATGCCTCCCGTCTAGGCCGGGCATAATTATCCGCATTTTTCCACCGACCGAAAAACAATCCGGGAACTTGCCGATGGAAAGCGATCCGGATTTTTGTCTCACGTTCGATTTCTTCCGAAATTCTGTCTTGCTGATGACGACAGTTGTTTTTTTGGACCAGATGAAATTAACGGAATGAACCATTGTGTGGGTTTAATACAGACAATGACGATAGTTCGTTCGGGCTGTGGAGAAACGACAGGAGTCCGGGATGTGATGCCGAATTCGAAGCGAACACTCTGTAATTTAAGCGAGCAGGGTCCTACCGTCACGCTTCGCTATAATGACGTCGGACAGAGCAACCAACAGACTGAATGTCTTCTGTGTTGGACCTGGCGTCGGCCGCATCGACCGAAACAGCGATGGCGGCAACATCATCCATTTTGAGAACGATGCATTCATCGTAAGCGCCAAACGTCTAATTGCCCTGATTATGCCGAACACTGTTCCGACGAAGCAAACGTGCGAACTGTTCATATGCCACTACGAGGCCACCGATAGCTATCGAAGGCAACTCGGAGCTCTGCAACGGCTTAATCCGGAAAGACAACAATTAGCGGCTGTTTCAACCTTCATATATTTGACCCCTGAGCTCCCGATCAAGCATCCGGACGCGAGTTTTCGGGCCGTCAATCTCCGACTGGGACCCGTTGGAAAAGTCGAGCCGAATCTCACAAACGGGGAATCAGATAATGGAATAGAAGTCCAGCATGAAACTGCTTATGCTGATTGGAGTCGCGATTAAGCGCTCAGGATCATGTCCTAAGATTGGGAAGCTCAGTACCCGGCTCGAGTGACGTTGGATTGGCGTACCTCACGTGGAGACGTGACGCGATTCTGCATGGAGTTCGACGCTCCCCGTCGACGTCGTCGCTGGCGAAGGCGGCGGCGAGCTGGCTTATTTTTTCTTCTCGTTATACGGATCGCGTGACACGTGCAACATGTGCTCCTTCTCCTCAGTGCTTAATGCACGTCGTCGCTTCTCATTCGGGATTCCTCCCAGCTACTTCTGCTGAGAGTTCTCGCACGGGAACGATTGTTACGCACGTTGATAGGCTCACGTACAGCGAGACCCTGGAAGAGCGAGCCGCATGGACTCTCTTGGAAGAGCGAACTCGGAGTCACCGAGCCATTCAGTCTCGCGGAATTGAAACGCTCGGAAAACTCTTCACCCGTGGGATTCGACGCGGCGTTCCACAAGGTGAAGAGCAATCCGATTTCAGATCTGTGAGAATCTTCCCGCACAGAACGCGCACAGAAGTAACGCAGACGAGGGGATAGGGGGTTAATTGAGGGGTTCAGTTCACCTCATCGAGACGAATGCAGCAAAAATCTTGAGCGTTCAACCTGTCGCCCGTCAAACAGTCCGGTCGTCCATGCGTCTGTGCGTTCCTCCATCCATCGGATGGTCGGCAACTCAGCTAGTCAGTCAGTAAGTTTGTGAAGCAGACGGGTAAGCGGCCGAAGTGCAGAAGGACCCGCATCGGAGCGATGAAACAATCGCCCCCATGCCATAAAGATGAGAGAACACTTAATTTCTCGGATGATCTTGTTGAAACGAACACTCTTTTATCCTTCAAGTGCTTGTCCCGCCACCTCGGCGCATGGTCACCGCCGGACACGCCGACAGCCATCGAAGAGCCCGCGACTCCGAGCACGACGTGGAACAAGTCCGCTCCCGAGACATCGAAAACGGCACATTATGTCTTAAGACCGCAGCTACATGACTGCAGTCACTTGTGACGTACGCACCGTTCGACAGCACGAGTACGATTGAGTCATACCGCGTCCGTGCTTTTCACGTCTACATAATCTTTCGCTCGTAAATGGATTGGTAGGACGTGGGATCAATCATTATTTGACTGCTTGTGAGTCGGCATTAAATTCTCGCCATGAACGAAGGGTGAGACCCGACAGAGATCTGAATCTTCCGTCGCAAGAGGACAATAAATCGGTGAGGGGTGAGAGGACCCGCGTATCAGGCGTACAACGCACCGACAAATAGTTTCCGAGCGCGATATACACCCCTCTTCCCTGATCGACTTTGAGCTCATTGTTCGAGTCGATCTTCGGCGCGGCTTACAAGAGCCCGGCAAAGAAGACATCTCGTGAAGTCGATCATCTCCGCTCGTAGCGACACCATACGCCAGCCTCTCAGGTGAGTTCATGCAGCTTAGAGAGTCGAAGCCATTAATATAGATTTAGGATCTCTTTTTTCGGGGTCGGAAAGCATTGTACTCCGACGCATGAACGATGGAGATCGTCTTTGGAAACAGCACCTGCCTTCGAACAAGCTAAACGATGTCGACCGGCTTTCTTCGACTCCAAAAGGATCTGCGCAGCTGTGGGATTTGCAACATGGACCGGAGCCCGCAAGCAAGATTCTCAAGCGAGCAACCAGGAACGATCGATATCGAGTGCGCGCAAAAAATTGCGGAGTTCTGCCCTCGGAATGTACCCGTACGAAAACACCGTCTCGGAAATGAAAAAAAAAAGCGAAAGCTCCTGCAGGCTCAATCGACCCCGCAGATGTCTCGCGAAGAATTGGGAAGCGTTCTCCGAATAACGCAGAGTGCTACGCACAGCGATACTTTTCCGGCACTGGCGAGCGAGAGAGCTTCTCGTTTTTCCCTGCGATCTCTCTTCTCTCAAGGGCTCGAAGAATAAGCTCTCGACAATAATATCGAACTGTCTAAGGCAGACGACCGAGCCAATCGCGGCTCGGCAAGAGCACTTTCCAATCTCAAGAGATCGGGGTGGTGTCTGCATCTCATCACAGCACACGGCCTCTTGGCACGCATACAAATCTCTCTCCGGAGCAGATCGTCTCTCGAACGAAACACCTCACGGAGGAGCTAACACCGAGCGGGATCTTGTTCTCGTTATTTCGCCGCGTGCTACCTGCCCAGATTCTTCCTTATTTTTCCTGTGGGGTTTCTCGGCCCGAGATCCTCCTAAAGCCTGTATCGCATTGCCCCATCCCCTCGTCCTCCACAGGCGCGCCGACGTTATTCAAGTCTTTGATTCCCTTTTTCCAATTTCGAACAGATACGCTGCAGACGAGTCGGCTCCTCGTACACCTGTTTTATGCTTCGCTTTCGGCTCACTCCTGCGCCTCATCATCTCCTCTCTCGAATTGGAGTCGTGAGGCGTGCGGCGAGCTCGGGACAAGACTGAATCTCCCCGTGTGATTTTCCTTTTTTGTTTATTATTCCTCCTTATTCTCCCGTCCAAGGGTCCGTTCATATACCGTATGCGATCCGCGATGTCCGACTCGCTTTCGGACAAAACGGCTGTTTCCAATTCACAGCCCGCTGGTTAACAGGTCTGCGCCACGATCTACATGATCTCGGTGAAAAACAATCGAGTCATGTGGAAGAGGCGACAAGAGCTTGCCATATCCCAGTCTTTCCTCCTTCTTCTATGTCGAACACCGGCTCAGCAAGTGGCTACACATAATGGGCCTGGAGCTCCTTGACACACGAGGCGAGGCAAGACGGGCCGGCTGGCAAGCGAGCGAACGGGCGGGCGGTCGGACGAGCGAGCGAGGGAGCGGACGGGGACCGCTCTGTTAACAAAGAAGCCTCCTGCTTTTGCGGCGGCCGCGGCGGCGGTCGCAACTGCGGTCGAGAGCCAGGCCTGACTTGGCACTCAAGTAGCAGAGAGAGGTAGGCACGGAGGGGGGAAAGACAGGCAGATAAAGAAGAAACGAGCCCGGGAGCTATCCCGCTAGCGAAAGAAGCTATCAACGGGCCTTTTACGATATTGGTCTCAAACCCCCAAGGAGGAAAAGCTCCTGATCTGAGGAGCTCACTACCTCACTGATGGACTCACTGACTGACTGCTGAGGTGCCGAACTCGTCCGCGCGCCTCCTCCAGCATTATGAGCAAGATGCCAAGAGCATTCTCCTCTCATACTCCCTACTCCGAATTAATTTGAGTCAGGGAATGCTTCTCGTTCATCGGAGATCCGACCCTGGTCCCTACAAGGGATATGGGATCGATTCCCTGATGACGGGCTTGGGTTCAGAGAACGTTAACATCAGGTCGGAGAGCGCACCGTCCGTCGTAGGTCGTATCGGTCGGATCAGCCGCAATAAGATTCCGATAGATCATAAGAGGATGAATGGTTTCTTCCGCCGTTGATTCGCTCGATGGGCTTGCTGAGACCATCCATTCCCGGTAGCCCTATCGTGTCCGCATACAAGCAGGAGGAATCCATCGATTCCTTTTCCCTTCACGCTTCCTCTCCTCATGTTCATTGGACTTGGGCAGGCGAGTAATCCGGAGAGTCCCAATAATTAGGCTGTCAAGACAAGAAAATCGCCAATCGAGAAGCAAGAGAGGGAATGTATTCCGATTTCTCCATCGGCATCAAATGCTCTGGTATGCTGTCAGGCTAATTGAAGTCATGCCAGGCGACGACCAGACATCGGAGCGATAGCAAGTTTCCGAGGAGAAATTGCCCCAGATCGATTCGATCAAAATGAATATAAATTGAGAATCGTCAGCCCCTCAAATGTTCCAAGCGGGCGCTCAGGGGTGAGCTGATGTGCGCATATTATCGTTATCTCATTCTGGAGTCCCGGTATTCTCGCT